TGTCACAATGTGGTCAGCGGGTGGATTCGGTACAAGGGTGGCAGGGGCGAAAGTCCCGAGGGTCGGTCGGCGGTGGCGGGTCTGGCTTGTTGGGTGTCGAATACGGACGATTTGGGGCTACCAGCAACGCAGAGCGGACGCTGGCAACGACCGAAGACGCCGGAGAGGGAGACGAACCGTAGGTCTTGAGATTTTCAATTGACATAAACTCGGCCGGTCGGGGGTACCTGTGGGAGATGGGTTCGGGGTGGAGGGGCACGAGGGCGAGCGACCGACGACTTGGGCAAGTGTCTCGCTGGGCTATGAGAATCCGGCTGGCGGTGTGGTGTCTGGTCCTTTGAAGGGTTCGGGTGTTGAGCGGAGGATGCGGCGGTGAAAACAGTCGGCAGAGCTGCTCTGCCGGGAAAGAAGGCTGTTGGGGTGCTTCTTATACGATGAGGCTGCAGTCAGGAGGGTGATGTAAGAAAGTGGGCGGGTCGCGCAGGTTGGGAGTCGAGCCAGGAGCTGAATACGGGTAGCGGCTTCGGGGAGGTTCCAAGGACGAATGCGAAGGGGGGGAGGCGGGCGGGTTGTCCGAGGGGGCAAGGTCGGCAACCCGCCTCACAGTGTGTCCCCCGTAGGTACCTTCCCATGCCCAGATCGAACCAGCATGGATGGCAAGCAGCCCCAGGCAGGCAAGGCAGGCAAACAGGTGCACTCGGGGGGGCTGAGGGTGGGCGACTTCTTACTGTTCTCGGGAAGGTGGGCTACAAGTGGCTGACGTCGTCGCGTCATTGGCTGCTTGATGCTGAAGTAGTGCTTCTGAAGGGTGTACACATGATGCCGGTACTGTGAGCCATGTCAAAGCAATGGGCTACATGGATCCCCAGTGCCTCGCTCCGTGTCGATACTTGCTGTATTGACTGCTCGTGTCTTTCAAGCTGCGCCCCCCCAAGAACTGGCCCTCCAACCACGGACGGGTGCAGAACCAGCGAAGCAGGCTAGCCACCTGCTTCGAGTGGTGAGACCTGCCCTTCACTGTCCGTCATCTGACTCGCGAATGTGAAGAATGACTATTGCCTGGCCCCGGCCCTCGAGGCCATGCGTTGTCGCACATATTGATAATCACACAAGGCAAGGCGACTTGCCCCTGCGTCATGTGTCATGTCCCGATTCCGGCCAGACTTAGCCTGTGGTTCGACGACAGGTGCCGGAACTCTTGGTGCTGTGCCGAGATCGATCGTCGATTTACATGTCAACGGTACCTCCCAGCTGCCATCTCTCTGCTTGGACCCCTTTGCTGGAATTGAAGATGCCAGTACAGCAAGCCAGACAAACACATCTTCTCATGAGGTTTCCAGCCAGGACTGGACGACTGGGCGACTGGACGACTGAACTTTCAGAACGGTATTCGCTGGCGCCTTGCGTTTACGGCAGTCTGCCGTCTAATCGAGTTCAGGAACCGGCAGGTGATCCACCAACTTCAAGTGCGTCAAGCCCAGATCTCGCAATGCCGCCACAGCATTATGATCCCGCAGAGCGAGCGTCTCCTCTTCAGATACGAGCACAAAGTCATACCGCAAAAGCCATGTGCCTTCTTGGACCTCGAATTCGCTGCTCGTCACCTCGTCCACCTTGTCAAGGCTCACAACCAGACTCTTTTTGACGCCAAAGACGGCGTCCGAGGATTCGTAAGGATCACCGCGGATGAACAAAGCCCTGTTCCACTCAGACGTCCCTCGGTCAGTCTCATGCTTTCATCGAATTGTATCAGACACCAAACACATGAGAGTCGAATAACGTACGTGGTCAATTGATCCCACCCTGCTTTGGCAAACATGAAGTGCATGTGCGCTGGTCTCCAACAGTGTCGTCCCAGTAACTGGACCAGCTTGCCCACGGGCCCGTCGTGTGGGATAGGGTAGCTCACAGGCTTGATGCCGCGAAACCAAAAACGACCCTCGTCGTCAGAGGTCATGACACACCGCTCGCTCGGCGCCTCCCTGTCTTGTCGCTGCACGTCATAGTGACCTGAGCTGTCTGTTTCCCAGATGTCGATGCTCACGCCTGCGATAGGGTTGCCATGCCTGTCTTTGACGGTACAAATCGCAAGCAAAGGCTCACCGGACTCATCGTCTGACATGATGCCGCCGTTCGGCAGCGTGGGTGCATCATGTGTGTGGAAGGGGCCCAAGACGGATCCTTCCGTCGACGCAGCCGGCTTGGGGTGGTTGATGCTGTCGACTAACATGGAGAGACCCAGGACGTCGGAGAGCAAGATGAACTCCTACGTCGTTCGTCAGATTCTACGTTTGCTTGGCGATGGGGGCTTCCCTGTGCCAGTCTCGATTACTCACATGTCGGACATCGCTGCTGATCTGCCCACATCTAACCAGGAAGTTCAATGCGGCCATCCACTCTTCCGTGCTCAGCCTCGTTTCTCGAGCAAAGTCGTGCAGATGTGTTACGAGCCGCGACGCAAGATATGTGACCCGCGCATTATTTCCTTGCGAATTGATCCGAATCGTGTTGGGTGTGATGTTTTCCGTTGTAAGATCTAGGAGTGAGGGGACACTACCGTCTTGAGTCGCCCTTTTTTGCCCCTTTTCCGACATGTTCGCCAAGATCGCGTATCCACCGTCGATGATGTTCCAGTGAAGAGCAAAGTTCCACGCCGAAGCGTCCGAAGCATCAGTAGTTGTATCGAGCAGAAATCATTCATGTGCGATTCCGCGAAGACACTGCAATGACAAGGTTAATAGTGGGGGATCTTCTGGAGCGGGGTACACGCGTCGGGAAACAACCGCGGTACCTGCTTGAATGCCACATCCGAACTGAGACTTATTCTTCTCGTGAGGACCAAGATCGATCTCTGTCTTGAATCCTCATACATACCTACGAGTAAGTGGCATGGCAAAGGTCTGGGTACCTCCCTACCATGTTAAAGGTAAGCTTTCAGCCTCATATTACTCTAGGCAGCAGAATAGACTGGCAGCAAACCAAGCAGTGTCGCCAGGTAAGAGGAGGCAGTCTTTGGAACCGGGCAACAGCCTTGATCACTATGTTTCGACTGAGACGAAAGGAACTATAGTCGGTAACATAGGCTACTGGCTTAAAGTATTCTCTGTGTTTGGAGGGCTTCACTGCTTGCGTGAACCTTGATTTATTGCTTTGGCTGTGCCTCAGAGCACTGAAAAAGTAGGGTTAGTGATGTAAGACTAGTAATGATTATTGATACTCTCTGTCTGATTTAAATGTTGCAACCTTATCCATGTGCAACTGGAGCATGCTGGATGATTGAAAACGAAACTTCGAAGCGGGAGAGGGAGCCTTGACAACTCTACGCGAGGGCCCTCCCACACAGCCCCTGCTTCGCCTTCGACTATGACACGTAATTCGCTTATTTCTACCTCCCCGCCTCAACTCGAGTCTGATTCTACTGAGGATATTCAGTCTACTGGCGCAGCCCTGGGGTTATTCCTTGTCGCTGAAAGCACAATCGACGCTCACGACGTACGGCTATACCCTCACCACTGAACATAGATCTGTGGTATTTACAGGTTTCCTGCTGTATACTCGGATGTTCGCTGCAGCGCTGCAGCGGGTGACCGTCATGGACTGTATCTGTGGACGTGGGACTAGAGGAACATTTGGACCATGATGACCATCTGCATTCTTGAAGCGGCTCAGCAGAGTGAAACTGATCTCCGATGCCCCGATGGAAGATCTCCAGAGTATAGCCGGCCTAACCATTCACCCACCCGGTGGCGACTGCGTTAGGTTCTACCGTTCACTACTACGCTGACCCGATGTTCGGGCCGCAGTTGAATCTGAGAGCCAGCTTCTGAAATCCATAATGACGCCGTTCTCGAACGTTTCTTTCTGGGCTGTGTCGACTCCAAGGTGGTGCCATCAGCAGCCCACAGCATAAGGGCTCCTTCGGCCTGTACCAGGGGCAGAATTCACGTTCTCCTTCGCTCACGTAAGGCAGTAGCAGCTAGTTTATCGCGCCAGCTAGTTGCAGTAGAGTCAGTCAATCATGTTAAGGTAGCCACTGTCGCACAAGGTTTGGTCGCCGTGGATTTCCGGGATCACAGGCACTTTCTTTTGTGTTTCATACAGAAAGTCAGCCTGCATGAACGTTGGTGGGAGCCTCAACTGTCGATGATGACTTCTTGGTGACACTTGACAGAGGTAAATGGAGAAGATCTTGGCCAGCCGATGCGCCTTTCATGACCTGGTGCATGGTGAGTCTCCCCTAGGTCTTCAGTGTGGATGACCTTGTTGGTATCATGGATCTGAGAGGGGCCGAGACAAAAGCTGGGGCGTCATCTTGAGCTGGTCAGGGTCACAAAAACGCAGCTTATATCACCCCCTAGTCACATGAAGAGGGCAGACGTCACAGCCACTACTCAGGGCAGTTGCTCTAACACTTAAAACACGTCTCGCTAGATCTACGTGTTCCTTCCGGCTATCGTTGATGAATACCCCCGTACACTTACACGTCCACGTTCACTGGGAAATTCAGGATCGTGATTCCCCACGCACCTTCACGATATTGGCAGACCCCGGCCTGTTCATCTACTGCACTGATTCAATACTCCTGCTTCCCCACCAGCGGAACTCGTTACTTTTGGGTAAACCTCCTCTGCTGAAAGCCTTTTTGTCGAACTCTTTGTCCCGCTGACCACTCCCGTTAGCGAACCTTTCTCCCCAGGTATCTATCTACGCCAAGCACTGATTGTCCTCCCGACCTATACAACAAATCGACGTTAATACGGTACGTGTATTCCTTCTCTGTTTTGATCTTCGCTGCCCTACTTTTCGATCTCGCCCATCTTCTTTCATCTTGCCTGCCTCCCAAGCACGGTCTGCAACAGTTGAACTTCGATCTCGTTCCTCTACCTTTCTCTTGGCTACTGCAGAGGAGGCAATAAGGTCCTGGTATCCTTCCACAGTTTTTCGAAGCACGAGCATCAGATTTTCGCTTGTTCTCGACTGATTCTCTTCTCTTTCCCTCATCGACAGCGAAAGTAGAAGGGTATTCGATCTCACCCGACTTCCTACTCTTGCAACCAGCAGCAGCCCTTCTTCCCTTCACAAGCTCACTTCTTTAGTTCGTCCGGTCCTATTCGTCCGGTTTGCTCTCTCCGGTCTGCTCCTTCCGGTCTGGCTCGTCTTGTTCACCTCGCTCGTCGTCCTCCTTCCCTATCTTTATCACTTCTGAGAAAGAAGAAGCTTTTGCAACAGCTTGATCACTACTAACACTACACAGCCCCAAAAGAAGACACCAGCGTGTCCAGCAATACAGTGACTACGCGCCTTCCGACCAGTCAAGATGGCTTCCGGTGGCAGCCTCCCCGACGATCTCGGCCTCGGAAGATTGGTTCTCAGCCAGCCGCGGTCAGTTGCACTCTCATGTGTATGAAGTGATGAGCTAATACTCACCAGCACCGATGTTGACTTGCCTGCCGAGGATGACGTTTTCCAGGGAGGCCCTGGTGCTCTGACCATTACTGCCCCTCCCCCTGGTCCTATCTCTTCGTCCATGGTCCAGGTTGAGACTTCGCCCTCGAAGGCTCGCGTTCTTGGTTTCCATGAGGACCGCGTGCCCGACGCACAGGAGTTTTACTCGTCCGAGTTCTGCGTCTTCGTAGCCAAGTATGCCTTCCCTGAGTTGATTCCAAGACTTGACACTGACGGGCAACCCTTTTGCAGTCTTCCTCAATCTCAGAGCGACGAGACTCTTGAGGCTGCCGTCACCGAGACGTTTTCAAAGTTTGGTACGGTTTTTGTTAAGATTCGCCGTGATACTCGGAACCAGATGCCGTACGGCTTCGCTCAGTTCACTGTCGGTATCCTAAACACCAGACTGGCACTCCCAGTTGTTCTTGTTGCTCCTTACTGACGCCTTTTCAGAATGCTCATAATGCACGCACTGCCCTCTTGAAGGGTAGAGGCAGTATCATTCTTGGTCGAGCCTGTCGCACCGAGCGTGTGAAGGGAAATTGTACGCTAAATGAATCTTCAACCTTGTCCAAGCAATTACGCTAAATCTTGCCAGGCCAATTCGTCTTGTACCGCCGAGATGGATCGGTTATGACCCGTGCTGAGGTGACCAACCTCATGGAAGTCCAGGGCACCCTTGCCCGAGTTGAGCCCCTCCACTCTCAAACTCAGTCTCTGACCAACTTTCCTGAGACGGCCTGGCTTATCACATACGATCTGTTCGATCCACGTCGTGACGTCGTCGGCGTCTTCGCCAATCACATGACTTACAACGTTCGTCCTTTCAATCATAGGGACACTTCCGACAGGATTCAGGTACCGGGAGGTGGTCATCGTGCCCCGAACGATAAGTATGGGTCGAATGGCCGGTCCATTTACATCGCCAACTTGCCTGTCGACATTGACGAAGCCGCTGTTCGTACCATCGTCAGCGGATTCAACCGAGTTCAAAGGGTACAGATTCGGCAGACCACCACCAATAGTTAGTCCAAATCACGCAGAAATTGCGTCCGGATCTCATTTTGCTGACACAGCTTCAGGCGGCCGTCGGGCGTATGCCTTTGTTGAATTCGATCACGCTGATGTCGCTGACGCTGCGATTACCCAGTTGGTAAGTGCCAGGAGCACATAGCCTTGGGCATTGCCCTAGACTCTTGACTGACTTGTGCCGTGGCAGAACGGGCTCGTCACTCCCGACAACCACGGCTTCCTTCGTGTGCAGAGGAGGATCATGCACACCTTCCCTTCCAACCGTCCCCAGGGCCTTCTTCCAGCTCAGAGCTACGTTAACCGTGAGCTGTACCCTCAGGTTATGACCAACTCAGCTCCTAGAGAAATCGGTGAGGGACATGTCCTCGGCGTTCACAACAACATTCAGGAGACGCCAATGAAGCAGGTGCAACATCATCATCATCATCAGGAGTTACAGGCGGCTGCTAGCACTCCTTCCGAACTTGGCCAGGTCACGCCGGCAAACACTATGCAGGCGCCGCCTCCAAGCATTGCGAATCCGATGAGCCCCATGAGTCCCATGGGCCCCATGAGCCCCATGAGCCCTTGGATTCACACCTCACCTTATGGCAACCCTTTCGCCGCCACCATGGGATACTCCCCTTTTGCCGGATCACAGTATACCATGATGACGCCCCAGGCCTCGCCTGCCATGTACTATCCTCAACAGAGCCCGCAGCCTCACTTCTCGCCCTTCGTCATGGCTCCACACATGCCTGCAGCTTACTATCATCCTGGTAGCTGGGCTGCTCATGGTTTCGTTCCCGGTACTTACATGGTCGACTCGGCTGCCGAAGGCCAGGCCACGGATCAGGATTCCAACGACCACGATGACGGTATCCATGATGCCGAAGCCGGCCACGGCCAGGTCACTTCGGAAGGTGGCGTTTCGCTCAAGGAGGAGTGAACCGAGCCAGCACGTGCGCCCGGTCCCGGGTCGAACAATGGTTGCGACCCCGATCGGTTGGGTAATTGGGGTTCTCACGTTTCAGGGTCTGCTGCTGCGTTTTTGATTTTCCAGTGATTTGGAGTTGGAGGTAGGGAAGATACCCAAGGCGAATATGTGCCTGCGGAGAAACAGTTGACAATCCTGATCAACGAGATCGAAGTGCTATGAAGAAAGGGCTGCGACGGTAAAGCTCCTTCACGCATAGTCTCGATGACACAAAGGCCTGGAGGCTTGTCGTACTGTGGAACAGAACCAACTGCGCGATCTGCTTTTCTTCCTGGGTTTCCAGGACCCAGGAGCAGTCAGATGCTCCCCAATACACATGATAACTACACAATACTGGCGGGAATCATGTGATAAGATGCATTGAAGAAATGACGTAGGCTCCGTACTTTGCATTCTGGATCCATGAGCATGAGAAGAGACGTCGTTGTTCCGTCACGTGTTGGGGGGTCCAATATGTATCGCTCGTGGCCAAAGCTCGTGTGGAGACCAGAACTAGTCGGCCGGCGACCGAGCCGACAGACTCCCAATACAAGCTTTCCGAAACATCGCAAGCCAGCCCGTTGCTCCTCCTCCGTCACCCCAAGTCCATCCTTCGGCTGGCACGAGAGCGACACAGACTTCTCTGTGCTGCAGGGGCACGAACATACATCTTCCTACCCATGCACTGCAACCGCACAGAGCCGACTGGCTCGAGGTGACCATCAGCAACAACCTTTCGGCCGATACAACCGGCATTACTGTCACGATGCGAGCAACGTCAGCCCTGAGCAAGGGCTTCATGGGTCGCAGCGTCGATGAGTTCAAGCGGTTGGCCTCAATTGGTGAGGAACTTCCTGTCTCCCTTTTCTGCTGCACAAGCCCGGCGCCGCTCCACCATGTCCGTCTACTGACCTCGGATCATGGGCACAGCTTTCACGGCGGAGGCCGTCAAGGGTCCCTTCGCACCGCTTCTGCTGCAGAGCTTCCCCGACGCACACTCCATCGCAAACTGCAAGACCATGTCCGACGAAGAGATCGGCGGCTTCTCCGAGTGCGCCCTCGACTGGGCGCCCTCCTCGAGCGACACCGAGCCCCGACACCCCTCGTCCGCGGCCCGACCGACAGGCTACGCCCGCTTCCACGGCACGATATCGACAGAGCTGCCCAAGGACAAGCCCGAGATCCAGCGCACCGGTTTTGCGGCGTGCGCACGCTCGACAGGCCGGCGACGGCATTCGGCCGCAGCCTCTGGGACATCGACATGTACACGTACCTCGCGATGCGCATCCGGTCCGACGGCGCAGCTACTTTGTCAACCTGCAGACGGAGAGCGTCGTGCCGACGGATCTACACCAGCACCGCCTGTTCGCAAGCGGCCGGGCGAGTGGGAGACTGTGTTTGTCAAGTGAACGACTTTGTGCGGACGACCACGGCTTCG